GCAAAGCAAGCAGCTGTTTGTTCAGTGCTCTTCCAGATCATACAACGGCCACTTTATGGTGTTTTTTCCTGGTTTTAGCCTTCAATATCCTTTGGCAGAGCAGAAATCTTTTAGCTTGCCCTTAATTACGCACATAGAGCATTAATAAAAATCAAAATGAGCACGCATCCCGTATGCAGGTAAAGCCAAGTCGGAATTCCTGCACTTACTGACTCGGCTTGCACCACTCCACCAGGATTTTTAAGAGCACCTTACTAGAACAGGTGAGGAACAACCCACCATTCCAGGCTGGAGCAGGCAGAGCATGGGGAACCCCGTGGGCTGACAGGAGACACTCCCTAAAGGTGTCCTGCTTTAGGCAGGGCAGAGCTCATCCCCAGATCCCTGCTGCTCACAGGGAGGAAAGCCAGCCCAAGCAACCCCAGCAAGCAGTGCTGACAGGGGCAGTTTGACTGCTCATCAGCGACTCAGCCCACACACCAACCCACAGAGAAGATGCTGAGGGGGAAAATACACCACGAGAGACATGGTCTAAAGGAGCCTCACCTGCTTCCTGCACCAGCTACTCCTAAGGACAGCTCCAGAGTCCCAAACCAAAGCCATGGAGAGCCCTCAGGGCCAGGAAAGCCACAGCACTTGTGGAACTGTTGCCTCTGTCACAGCGCTGTCAGAGCGCTGTGACAGAGGCAAGGCAGGCAGTGGCAGCACTGCTCAAACCACTTCTGGAAGCCACCTCAAGAATTCACAGCTTTCTGGCTTACCTGGCAGAAAATAAATGAGGGGAGGAGATGGATATGGGAGAGAAACAGTGGGCATAATGAAAGTTAGTTGAAACTAGTCAAATGGTTTCCTCTTCAACCACGAGACAGAGAGGTTTTTCTTACAAAAGAAAGCTTCTTTTCTGCCATAGACTCGATGGCTGGTTTTCCTTCACAGCTCAAGAGACTGTTCCAACCACTAATTGCTTCTGGTGAGGGAAAAAAAATATTTATTCCACCAGTATGGCTCTCTGCCTTTAAAATGTGGGGAGGTCAGAGTGCCGCGGAGCTTTCAGTTTGTTTACTATCAATAACAGACGGCAGACGCAGACACCACGCACATACCCAAGGCAGCTCGGAACAGGGAGCTCCACAAATGGAAACAGCCTGGTTGTCATGGCAGCAGAGCATGATACCTGAGCTAATTACTCAGGCTGAGAGGCAGAGCTAATTAGCCCAGATGCAGCATCACCCTGACACAGTTATGATCCTTCTGGGACCTGCACACGTGTATTGCTGATCAGACACCGCGGTTTGCTCACAGACCTCGGCGTTCCACGCTCTGCTCGACAGAAGCATTCACAAAAAGAAAGAAAAAAGGGGGAAAATATGTTCCTACAGAGAAGAAAGCAATGGAAAAGAGCTCATAGAAACACCCAGAGAAGTCTGAGCACTGACCTGCAACTCTTGTGCAAGGGAGGAGGATGCCTGTGCCCACAGTGCTGCACACCACAATACTGGGGACTAGGGACACACCTCCACCCCCAGCCCAGGGGCAGGTCCTTGAAAAATCCCTTTCTCATTATGACAAGCTAAAATCAAAAAGTTCCCTCTTATCTAACAATGCAAACCCCCAAAATAAGCTCCTGACTTAGAAATAAGAAGGTAAATACAACACCATCTGCTTTAGATTGTGAATCCTGCAGAAGATAAATACCCACTACCAATAGACAAACCTGGGTTTTTTCAAGGACTGGAAACAGTTTTACTTGATGTTTTTACAGGAAGAAAAGGTATTTTAAAACTAACTTTGTCATCTTTCTATGGTACTATCTGACACAAGATCCTCCTAGAAGCAGCAGCACATTCCAAAAGGGTTGGAAACACAAACAAAACAGGTGAGTGTATCAGTCCTTGGGAACCATTTTTCTGCCACAGAAATCCAACGTAACATGATGCAGAAGACCACACAGACAAGCTGGGAAAGGCAAGGATTTTTGTTCGTATTCTTGGAGGGAAAAAAATCAGGATAAAGAAAAATTCTGTAAAAAACTATTTCCCCTCTTCATAATCAAAATCAGCAAAGGCAACAAACAGACCGAGCAGGCAAACTAGAGGAAGGATGGCCTGGACAGGCGGTCCCACACAAACCTGGTCATTGAACTGAGATGCTCTGGCAGTTCAATACAAGACACCTCTCATTTACACCAAATGACTCCCTACAAACCCAGGAAGAGCACTGGAGTCATGCTGAGTGTTTTAATGGACATTAATATGGGAACCAGGACACGTTACACAGCACGGAACTGATGGAATGGATACTCAGAAGAGCTAACAAAGGACAGACAGGCTTGAACAGTCGGGGTATATTTATTCAGTTTTAAGTTGCACAGACCTTTTAAGTTCACCTGCAAAAGTCATTAAGTTAAGAATTTTTTGGGTATTAACAATTTACACAACGTCCCTGCTCACTCATATTTACCAGAGATCACTTCTCCCTTCAGGAACACCTCTAAGCAAAGCTGGAGGATGCCAAGACATTCATTCAAGCATCTGTGCTGCCCATGAGAATGGGATAAATACATAAAAATCAATGTTTCTCTAAGCAGAAAGGTATTTTTGTCAAGGTCAATACTAAATAAATCAGTTTGGTGCCTCAATGATTTCTAATTTAAGGTAGAAATAGGCACACACTCTTCACCTGCTTAAAACTTCTGAAGGAGACGTCCAGCTAAGTGTACTTTATACACACTGAGATATCCAGTAATTCTAAGCACTGTTCAAATGGTAGATTTATAAACCTGGCATCACCTTCCCAGTTTCCTGAGGCACCTCCTGCCAAGCTAGTTGTGCTCCTCCCTTCAAATAACCAACACAAAGTTATTATCAGTCAGCAAGGGAAAGAAGGCTGGAGAATGAGACAGTATTAGTGGGTCAAACTGGAAAGAAGAGAATGAAGGAATATTAAGGAAGATAAAGCAGCTACTGAGATTCACAAGGGCCTGTTATTTATCAGATATACAACCAAGCCAGGACGTCAACAAAGTCTTAAAAGGGAAATAAAAATGTCATAATAGAGCATATAATCTTCCCATGACAAAGGAACTTGGTCTTTCTCCCAAAATACAGAAGATGCCTGTATTCCTGTACCTCATTTCCATTAAGGGAAGCTTCTCCTCTGCACTTTCCCCTAAGCGGACTATCAATAAAAGCCACTCTCTTCTGATAAGCTTTTATTTATTCTAGAAAACAGGCACATTACTGGAAACTGGAAAGAACTGCATTGTTTGCCAGGATTTTAACCCTGTTCTACAGCTGTAACTGTAGCCACTGCAAAAATTCCAACACACAGCTAAATCTCCCAAACACGCTGTAAGTTCAGGGAATAAGTCATTTTTGCTGGATTTCTGCTGTCCCTGATGTTTGGGACCAGAAGGTGGAAGCTCAGCAGAGACATCCCTGAGGGGACCAAGCAGAGTCCTGAATATTGACAGAAAGTCCCCTTTAAAATAAAAACAGCTAAGAAAGTCAATGCCATCAGCCACTCTGCTGCTGCCTCAGCAAGTAACAGGAGGCTCTTCTGGGAAGCACAGGGCTCACAGTGGGCATTCAGCCTGCACCAGGCACTAACAAGAGCTTTAAAACCAGGAATATTAGCAGAGCGCTGCTTTCTCTAACCAGGAGAAAGAAGGGGAGAATAAATTAGAGAGCAGCAGGGAAAAGAAGATATTTATGACATGGCTTCACCCAAAGCTTGCATCAACCAGAAAAAAAAACAAATGGCCAAGGATGCCTTTCGACTAATGCTGCCCAAATTCTTACAAAGAAGCTTCTGGTTTGGTTTTTTTCATATACACCTTTAGGAGAGAGCTAAAAAAAGCAAACACAATACAACTACTTTCACATGACAAAGTTGTATTTGTCATGCCTGACATCTGCCAAACAGGGCTGACTAATGTTTCAGGGATGGGGTGTGAACAGCACAGACACTGACACGGGCTGGCAACCTAAATTCCAACCTTAAGCCCTTCCACAGAATGCTTCCAGACCCCCAGGCTTTCCTACCATCCGCAGAATAAGTTTATTTCCTTCAGCTGGGAGAAAGGGTTGCTGATCCTGCTGATGGTTCCTATTTCTTTTCTCTGATGCTTTTAACTGTACTTGGGACTTCACCTTACACTTAAGAAGGAAGAAAAGGGACTTCTACTCAGATCATTTGGTGCCTAAAGGTATATTCCCACATCAGTGACAAAATGAAGAAGTTCTGAGTTGTGGGTTATTTTCAACTCTACTCAGAGCACATTCCAGGAAGCATCAGGAAACAGTAAATAGTTTTGTTCTGGGTGCTACAGAGAGAGAAGAGCTCTGTCTTTGTCCTTTTTCAAGGCTGAGTTAACTGAAAAAAGACAACGCATGAAAAATTCATTAGAAGGCACAGTGTGGCAACAGAACCCAGGGAGGCTGAGTGCTGCAGCCTGGCAATGGACACTGCTAAGGAGGGATAAAAGGCAGGGCACTCGCTGCTGACTGGACAAAGTATTACAGGGCAAGAAATAAGACTGGTGCTTCATCCACAGGAAATCTTTCTTGTTAATCCAAGTCAACCAAAGCCTGAGTCCCTCCTCTTCAGATTAAAGAAAATGTCGTTTTCCTAGAACAGAAGGAAAAATAACAAAGTTAAGGTACAGCTGCATCTCCCAACTTCTGTGATGTGACCAGTGGGGCAGAGAGGGAAGGGGAAAGCAAAGCTACGCCTACCTGGAGCAGCAGAGCTTCTGTCTCCTGGTGCTGACGAGCAGAGTGTCTCTGTGGGGACTTTACACTTTGGGATGATGACAGCAAAGTGAGAAGGAGCAAGAGTAGCCCCTGACAAACAAGCTTTAAACACAATCATTGTGGAATGCAGACAATATTTCACATCACCCATGCACAGAGTACCACCACTCCTCTCCCACACTGCACTAACACACATTTGTACAATGGTAGGTTTATTCCACACAACTTGATTCCCACGTTCTGTACCTCGACATCCTGAACACTGGATAAAGAAGTTGATTAAATCCAGAAGTGCTATGTCCCTGTCTTGTTTATATGATTCAATCCAGTCGTCCACCACAGACTGTCAAGAAAAAAAGGAACACTTATCAGAGACTCTTACAAAGTGCTTTATTAAAGGCAAATGACTTACTGTTTTCAGAATATCATTTTATAGCTGATCGTTTATTGAGCATAATTATACAGGAGTACAAATTCAGAAATCTAGGCACCTTCTCTCAGGGTGGAGACAGAACAAATATTGTCAGAGAGCATCATTTTCTGGTATTGTAATTGTATAAAGAAAAGTTCAAATTGAAATTTCTGTAATTCCTCAGAACTCTACTTAGAGGACTTTTTCAGTTTCAAAATTGTGTTCAAAAACACTCAAACACTGTTACTCCATTCAGAATGGTCAACACATATTCCCAGAAAACCGGTGAGCAGAAACCCTTTGGGATAAACCCTGATTTTACATTGCACAGTGAACACCTCAGCATTTCTAAAGGCCAGAGCAGTATATCAGCCACTCACAAACACTGCACATGGTTCAGGAAGACAAAATGCAATGAGGAATACTGGGTAAATAAAATAATACACACAAGTGGGAGGGGGACTGTCTGGGAATCAGAAAGTCAGCTGGATCACGGTTCAACAAAGCTGAGTCCCTGTTTCAAAGTACCCTCAGAACTACAGGTAGCCAGGAGATATTTTTATGATCCCTTATATTCCAAGCTCCTCAGCTACATAAACATTGCAGGTGAGGAACTGCGTACATTTAATGTAATCAAATATTACACTTTACTTATTTTATGAGGAAAAAGCCCAATCTTTACTGTTCCATACGTGTAGCAGCATTCATTAAGAGAAGCCTGATTATGCTATCAGAGAACAGCTGGCAAATGGATTCGTTTATTCGGGACAGTTCAGGTTTACCATGAATTTCTATAAAATTAATTTTTTTTAAAAATCACACACATCACCACCCCCACGTCTCCCAGCACACACACCCCTAGGAGGAGAAGCAACTCTACAAAGGGGTCCCTCTGCTACTTGGAAGAAATCAAAAAGCAAATCTTGGCCTCGAATTAAGCTTTGCCCCCCTGTCATTTCATCACAGGTTCAGGCCTGTTCCTGTAAGCATCAATCACTTCCATCAAACCCCACAGTTCTCCAGGGCACACACACCAAATGTAGCCAGACGTAAAAATTATTTACTAAACCAAATATTGACAGAGCTTAGTGACCAGACTGCTGGTGTGCTACCAATGTGCAAGATTTGTTTGAACAGCTCTGTTACTGTAGGTACTGAAACAACAAGCAATTGCCAGCAGGTACTTTTTTACACTAAAGAAAACAGCAGTTGTGCTGGCTCAGCCCACAGGCTCACCTGCCCAAGGGGGTTATACACAGAGGGGAAAGCATAAGAAAAGGGCAGGAATCAACTGCTATTTCTGAGTGACTCTCCCAGACCCTCCACACCCCAGTGTGTTTCTTCTCTCGCGAATGTGTCTGTCTAAACCAGACAGTTGCATATCTACATCACCTTGAAGCACAGTGTGCCAGGGTTAATTACTCACTGCAAAATGAAAGAACAATGGTGTTTTAAACTTGCCAATTGTCAGATCTATTTGATGCAGCCTAATGCTTTCACTTAAAAGAAATAAGAGAAAACAAATCCCAAGCCCCTGTTTGTATTTTCCATGCTTCTGTCTGGTCATCCCTTGTCAGGCACAATAGTCCTACTCTGTGCCATGTGGCTTGCACAGAAATACTTCCCTGTCTTTATCTTTGCCCACTCCAGTCACACATCTCTTAGCAGTTTCTGAAGTCTACTCTATTCTTCTTTGAGCCAACACTGCAGCTGTCTGTGGCCTGTGCTAGAAATACTGCCAGTGAACCCACCCAGACTGAAAACAGAGGGGTGGAGGGGAGACATCTGGAGAAATATCTTTCAATTTTCTTTCTGCTTCTTTTAAATAATTATTTAATTCATTTTTGCAGCACTACCTCAAAACTGTAGCATCGGTGCAGCTCCTCTCCCTTCTGCTATTTCTGTCCCTCAACCAAAAAGCGTCACGTGGGACACACTGTGCCCTTGGGCACTGTCCTACCTAGTGTGGCACTTGCATTTTCAACCTGGAACCACAATGCAATTTACAGAAAAATAAAGACAAGCAGCTCCTCTCCAGGCTCAGGGACCAGGCTTGAGGCAATGCAGAGTCCTCAGTGGCAGCAGCAGATAAGAAGAGCAGAAAAATCAGAGTTAAGGGTCTGAGCAGGAATAACAGGCAAAGACTGACAAAGAACTGACAAAGCTTTAACTAAAACCGGAATGTTTGGGTAGGATACATTTGCTCTAACTTGACCTGCACAAGCTCCTCAGTCCCTTTACACTCGAGATCCCATGCAGATGTGAGCACACACTCCCACATACCATCAACACCCAGTGGAGCTGCCAGCATTAACATCCCTCTGGAGCAGGGGGTGCTGAGCTGAGGTGGTTCCTGCTGTAAAACCCTCCTGGTTGCCCTGAGCAGACGCCAGTGACTGTATGAGGTGACAAGTCCCACACAGGCACCTGCCCTGGCAATCAGCACAGAGCCAACAAAATGCCTCACCAACCCCCCCAAAATCAGAGGCTCAACGCAACCCCCCCAGTCCCACAGCACTCAGCCCCTCATGCACACTTGGCACACTTGCTGGTTAATTCTGTCAGAGATTACAGTTTAAGGCAACAGGAGATAATGAAGCCAGACTACATATGCTCCAACAGTTGGAACTTAATCAAACTGTTGACTTTCGATGTAACAGAAAAGAGCTAGAAAATCTGAAAACACTAAGATAAAAACTAAAAATGATACACACTGGACCTAAAATAGACACAAGTATCAACTGCAGCAAGACAAAACAGCACTAATCCAAATACCAGGCAAAAAGGTTGAATATGAGCAAACTAGAAATCAAAGAACAGGCAATAGTGCAGCAAATGGTGCAACACGCAGGCCGTGCCAGAAATGGAACTATTTTGCATAAACATGCATAGAGAGAAGGACTCCTATTAAAAACAAGGATTTCTGACCAACGGCTCCCAGGTTACAGCAAACCATCCCAGAGGATTTTTTCTTGTTAGCCACCTCCACCCAGTCCCATTTTCAAGGGCTTCTCACACAAAAGCCAAGAGCAAACTCAGGGCAACATAACCCAGACACAGCCTGGGCCGGCCCCTCCATGTCCCCTGTCCCACACACAGACAGACACTGAGTGAGGACACACGTGGTGACAGGGGCAGGGAAAGGCCAGGCAGCCCCTTGGAAAGGAGGGAGGTACAGGCAGGCTCCATCCCCACAGGAGTCGTGCTGCCCACTCTGCTTCCAGAGGTTTTGGCCCTCGGATGTAGGAGAGGGCATGGATTTGCCATGTGGAAATGTGAGTGCTGTGCATGAAACAGATGATAAATTCAGCCTTCCTGAAGCACAGGACCCACAGCACATGTGCAGCAGCAGCCTGCCCAGGGGCAGAGATCCAGGCATTTGGGAGTCACCAAATTCAAAGCACGTGCACAGGGAAAAGGCGCCCTTGACAACAAGCTCAGTTACACAGATAGAACCTCAAGATTACTCCAGTAACACCAACGCCCCTCTTCCACTCCCTGCTGTCAGAAAACATCTACACCTATATGCACACACAATTCTATACACATCTGTACACACATACAGATGTACCACTTCTCTGGGTCAGTCAGTAAGTCCATACTTGTTACAAAAATAAGACTCTTAACCATTTTTTTTTAAAGTCTGTAAATACTTCTTTTCTTAGAACTGAGTACAAAATCCAGGTTTCCTGCGAATGGCAGATGATGTGTGGTACAAATGCCTGGTCAGTACAAAGACTTTCCAAAGCCTGTGACAGTTTCCAAGAGTCTCACAGAACAACCTCTCTGGAGAGTGTGTTGTAAGAACTACCAGCACAGTCTGAAGGATATGCCAAACAAGCAACCCTACACAAGTAACAAGCTTAAAGGAAGTCATGCAAGTAGCAGAATAGATCCACAGTGTGAGTAAACAACTTCAAATCAATCAATGTGCAGAAATATTGACCTTCACATCTCAAAGGCTGCTAAAAGATAAACAGGAGCATTTTATAGTCCTGAAGAGCAAGAGCAGCTCAGATTGCCAGTAAAAGCAAGTCTGCTGCAATGAATGAAATAATGAAGTAGTTATCTTATTACCTCCTGGAGGCTCTGCAGCTCTGAATCCAGCTCCTATTCCTGCAAGAGCATTACCACATTTAGGAGCATTAAGTGCTGGAGGAAGCAGGGGGACTAACTGCAGAGGATACCTCGCCAGCTCAAGGATATCAGCACAGTCCCACTAAATATTAATGAAAGTTGAGTTCAAAAAAGCCATTTCCCAGTTTCAATGAAGTAGCAATCTGGCAGCAGTGCTACTAACAAAAGTGAAAACAAATGACAGCATAGACAGAGTGCCTGTTAAATGCAAGATCTGAGTCAACTGTAAAGCAAGGCAAATCGGGGAGAAAGAACATGGAAGTGATTTGCCATTTCATACAGCTGCTCTGGACACGCTTCATTGACAGGGAATGTGACAGCACAAAGAGTGATTCTACAATGGGTCTGCAGGGTGTTTACATTAAGGTAGGAGAAAATCCAAAAATCAAAGCTTACGCTAACAATGTCTGCCAAAAACCCGAAGTTACCCCCACGGAATGTGAACCTTATCAAAACAAAAAAGGAATGACAGTGAAATTAAAGATTTCAATTAAATGTACAAAGAGCAGCCCAAAGAGAGAGAGAAAAGTAGAAAATGTGCTGTAACAAATAGTGAGAAGACCTGAGAGAGTGCAGTGAAAATAAGGACCCAGGGAAACAAAGGCAAGTAGCGAAAGACTATTTTTAAGTGAATCTCTTCAGGATTCTCTTTTAAAGAATAAAAGTTTTTCAAGGTTAAATTTTGTGAAGACTAAAGCAATTACACAGTTACTGGAGATAAAGAAGTTCCTGGCATGTGAAAGTGTGTGCAGTTTAGATTGTGCATTACACTGCAAGATGAGTGATTGCATTCC